GAGAATTTACAAAGGGACCAAATTGTTATTCTTTATTAACAATAACCTTTCTAATTAAATTGTTATTACTGTGTTTCGGTAGTGACAAATTTGGGGAGAGGACAAATATTCCAAAACTTTCTGAAAATACAATATAATAATTAGCTGCACAACTACTAGAAATGTGTACCTTGGATATTATACAATATGCATACATACAGAGTTTCCAACTCTGGCTTTGGACCAATTCTGTAGAATGGCCCATAAATTTTCCCCACGCTGGAAAGACCGGACCTCCTGGAACTTTAATCGAATACCCCTGACTTGTATCATAAAGAAAGACTTTATTTGCATGGTCTGTGTCACATATTTCCTTGTGTGTCATGGTGGATCTCTTATCATAGGTTTTAATCCATTACAATGTGCAAAACAGTTGTTCTGTAATCCAATTCTAAGTAACAGGCTGGATGTACATTAACCTTACGAAGCATATCATAGAAGATCATATGTTTTGTCTAGAGCTTCGTAATTAGAATGATTTCAATTCATGAGGATTTTTTTATGAGGATTTTTTTAGCAAGCCATTAAATCACTCGAGACTTGACTCGGACTCCAGCGATAAAGACTTGTGAACATCGCTGTGTGGTTCCTCCACTGCATGGATCTTCATGTGTAGCTTCAGGTGACTTTTAAAAGCGAAACTCTTCCCGCACTGATCACACTTGTGAAGTTTCTCTCCAGTGTGGCTCCTCTGGTGCTGTTTTAAACGGTTTGCTGAAGTAAAAGTCCTGTCACAGTCAAAGCACATGTACTCTCTCACATCAGTGTGAATTTTCTGATGCAGTTTTAAACAGTTCGCTGTAATAAAAGTCTTGTCACACTCAAAGCACATGTACTCTCTCACACCAGTGTGAATCTTCTGATGCCGTGTTAAACAGTCCGCTGTAATAAAAGTCTTGTCACACTCAAAGCACATGTGCTCTCTCACACCAGTGTGAATTTTCTCATGTCTATGTAATCTCCGCAGCAGTGAAAAACTCTTTCCACATTCAGAACAGGAATGTGGCTTCTCCTTCGTATGAACCGTCAGGTGTGTCTTCAAAGCTGATGACCGAAGAAATGTTTTGCCGCACTGATCACACTTGAACGGCTTCTCTCCGGTGTGGATCCTCATGTGTTCTTTAAGTTTTGCTGGTTGTGTGAAACTCTTCCCGCACTGATCACACGTGTGCGGCTTCTCTCCGGTGTGAACTCTCATGTGTCGTTTAAGGTTTGATGATTGCGTGAAACTCTTCCCACACTGATCACATGTGTGCGGCTTCTCTCCGGTGTGATCTCTCATGTGTCGTTTAAGGTTTGCTGATTGCGTGAAGCTCTTTCCACATTGGCCACATATGAACGGCTTCACTCCAGTGTGAACACTCATGTGACCCTCAAGACTAACTTTGTTTGAGAATCTCTTTTCACACTGACCGCACATGAACGGCTTCTCTCCGGTGTGGGTCCTCATGTGAATATTAAGATAATCTTTGTATGTGAAACTCTTCCCGCACTGATCACATGTGTGTGGCTTTTCTCCATTGTGGATTTTCATGTGTTCTCTAAGATGTGATGGTTGCGTGAAGCTCTTTCCACATTTGCCACATGTGAATGGCTTCTCTCCGGTGTGAACTCTCGTGTGAAGCTCAAGACTTTGTTTGTGTGTGAAACTCTTCCCGCACTGATCACATGTAAATGGCTTTTCTCCAGTGTGGATTTTCATGTGCACTTTAAGATGTGCTGATTGTGAGAAACTCTTCCCGCACTGTTCACAAGTAAATGGCTTTTCTCCAGTGTGGATTTTCATGTGCTTGTTAAGGTTTCCTCTTTCTTTGAATTGGTTTCCGCACTGATCACATGTGAACGGCTTCTCGCTGGTGTGAACTCTCATGTGACGCTCAAGACTTTGTTTGTGTGTGAAACTCTTCCCGCACTGATCACATGTAAATGGCTTTTCTCCAGTGTGGATTTTCATGTGTACTTTAAGATGTGCTGATTGTGTGAAACTCTTCCCGCACTGTTTACAAGTAAAAGGCTTTTCTCCAGTGTGGATTTTCATGTGTTTGCTAAGGTTTCCTCTTTCTTTGAAGTTCATGTTGTTGCTAAGGTTTCCTCTTTCTTTGAATTGGTTTCCGCACTTATCACATGTGAACGGCTTCTCGCCGGTGTGAACTATCATGTGACGCTCAAGACTTTGCTTGTTTGGGAAACTCTTCCCACACTGAGTGCAGGTGATAGATTTCTTGGCTTTTCTTTTCTTTAAAAATGTCTTTTTAGTCTTCGAGCGACTCGAAGGTTTTTCTCCAGGTTTGTGATGATGCTCCTCCTCCACTTCACTCAGTTCTTCACTCTCCTCGCTCTCTTCCAT